GATGCTCCACATATGCACATCCGATCAGCGCTCGCTGACTATGTGCTCGGATCTGAAATCTCACTTCATAACACACATCATTCATATAACACATCATTCCACGCCATCATGGGGCAGTAGCTCTTTTGGCTAAGAGTGATGGCTTGTGGCTTACAGTGACTAATGAGTGCATTTGATCAATTAAAATCCATTCTGTAGGTCTTAAGTCTAGCTCTGATGTGCTAGCCCATAAGCGCAAGAAGTGAGAGTGGTTAACTTTCTATTCATATTATTTGAAAATGAATAAAAATATAACAAAACTATACTAGAGGACCAAACGGAATATACTAATGCACTACATCATTACACCTGTAGACATCAACAGTCTTTAAAAACAGTAAATCAAATTACTCTGAGTCTGTTTTGTGTTATAGCTGTTGTCTCTACTTATCAGGCAAGATTTATATGAGAGCATACTATAGGAGTTACCACATCTTCTATTATATTTTCAACTAACTACTTTCGTACTAACCACAAAACATCTTAACTTAGTATCAATGTTTATGAGTGGTACTTACTTATTATATTTATAAGACATATTTCAGCCATAAAAGAAATGGTTAGTTACTCTTAATTATTAGTTATTAACTTTGTGTTATTTTTACACATTAAAATTGTTTATTTTTATAAAATTGTTTATACAAGTTTGTTTTTTATAAAATTGTTTATACAAGTTTTTTCTCTTCTAAAATAAGTGTAAATTATATTTATATATGTTTACATATTTGTTTATGGTTACACCATGCGCATCCCTCACCACCCTCACAAGATCTCTAAGAATGTTGGAGCTGTATTAAAAACTGGGATAGGGATTGGTTTTTTTGGCTTTTGTAGTATAATCCTAATATATTCCAATATTGACTAGCATGGCATAGAGTGCAGGAGGGGGGGTAAGATTTATTGTAAGGACATGCTCCTAATGAGTGGCATTAGTGCAGGTCTTAGGCTCTCCAAAACGTCGTTGGTGATCGCAGTGCATTCCTGAGGAAGAGGATCATTACTTAATTCTAATTGGTTACTATGGCACTAACATTTTTTTTACACCAATGAACTTTTGCGCTTTGTGAGCTTTTTATTATGTATTTGTTACATTAATGACATTTATATATTTTTATGATACACAAGTGATTATCAGTTCTCAATTTATTATCTAGAGTTTAGACCATATATAGTACCACATTTATTTGACTTTTTTTTTTATATTACTCCAGCTATCATTTATTATCATTTTACTTACTATTTTGTTATCTACTTATTTTATTGTTTTTGTATGGTGTGATTATTTTAGTAATGGATACCATTATTAAACCAGCAGATTTATATTGATTGTTTACTCATAGATCATTGTTTTATTATTTGCTAAATATGACTAGAGTGTGAGTTATGGTTTCTGTTTTCCCCAGTTGTTAACTTTTATTCCTCCTACTAAATAGTCTTTACATTAATTTATGTTTTTTACCTAAATGATATCATCTACAATCTGTTTTTATTTTCATATCTCCCAGGTCTATGTAACTGGACGGCTCCGTTGGTCACTATTTGCGTCATCTTTGTGTCGCATAATCAAAAATATTTATTCTTTGTGACTGGTAAGCTTTGACTTTTTCCAATTTATACCACAACGACAAAACGAACATTAGGCTATCCTGCTGGATGTGGTTACGGCTATCAATAACCTAATGACTACACTGACACTCATGCACATCTTCAGTCAGAAGCTCCACAATGCACGTCGGGTCAGCGTTTGCTGACTATGTCCTTGATCTAAAATCTCACTTCATAGCACATTATTCCACACCAGCATGGGGCAGTAGCTCTTTTAGCTAAGAGTAATGGCTTGTGGCCTATGGTGACTAATGTGTGCATTCGATCAATTGAAATCTATTCTGTAGGTCTTAAGTTTGGCTCTGATGTGCTAGCCCATAAGCGCAAGAAGTGAGTGTGTTTAGCTTTCTATTCACCTGATTTGAAAGTGAACAAAAACATATTGAGACCATACTATACGACCAAGCAGTACATACTAATGCACTACACCATCACACTTGTAGACATCAACAGTCTCTAAAATCAGTATATCAAATATTTGTTCTTTGTTACATATGATCTACACACAGAGTGGCTAGAGTGTTAGTTGTTTCTCCCCCTGCTCCCCAAGCATTTAACTTTGTTCTTCACCTTGACAAAAGTCTTAGCACACATTTTATATTTTCTTATGATTTTTATTTTTTATTCAATGAAACCATCTACTAACTGTTTTTATTATCACATCTCACAGGTCTACGTAACTGGATGGTTCCGTTGGTCACTTTTTGCGATCATTGTGTTGCATAAGTAAATTGGTTTCAAACATTTTTTAAAAATTTTTTTCTAAGATTTAAAACATTTTTTTTTTTCTTAGACTTAAAACATTTTGTTTTATTTATAATAAACTGCTATTTTTGACAAAAAAAAAAAAGCTGTTTATTTAATACATTTATCTTAATATGATATTTAATGGTAAACAGCGTGGAGAGAGAATGAAAAAATAAGAATACTATAAAATTATAGTAGATATAGATTTTCTTTTTAAAGATATGAATAAATATCCAATTAAAAAAAATATTAAAAAAAAAATTTATTGTTGATTTTCACCCTTTGAAGTCTACTTTCATTCAACAAACATTGGAAATTTTAAAAAATATTTTTGTCTACATATCATATTTTAAAGTCACAAATATTAATCGACAGATAAATAAGCCGATAACTTATTATTATACATGTTGTACATATTATACTTTATTTTTTTACAAAAATTTATTTTTTAGAGAATCGCATACCTTTAAATTTAGATTGTTTTAACAATTAATAAAATGGAAGTTCACAAAGATATTAATAAAACTAAGAATACAAAAAAGAACCTTAAAAAGTAAAAAAAAAAAAAAAATTTTCTTGGTTAAAAAAAAATCTGCCTGAGGGTCATAAACTTTGGCAAGATACCAACAGTTGGTGCAAGTACTGGTCCAATGGCTGAAAGAATTACAAACCTTCCAATACAATCCCTCTTTGGATAAAGAGTCTACTTCTACCCATTTTTAAGGATTTAATGGATGAGGATTTATTAAACATGTTTACATGGAAAAACCTAGAAATCAAATGAAACCTTAAATGGACTCATATGGTCAAGAAGTTCACAAGAACACATAGAAAAAGTGTTGAAAAAGATTGAAAGCCGGAAAAAATAGGGTTGTGTGATAAAATGAATGAAAAAGATTCATATAAAACTAGTGCTTAAATAGCTTGTCTTTTGTTCATTTTAATTTTTGTTTGCATTTTTCTTTGTTTTCAACTTTTTGCATAATTTCCATTAACTCAAGTCATGATAACTCGAGAATTGAGCATTTGAACTGAAATTTTAAAATTATGTTTATGTTGATTTATTATTCTGGATGACTTTTACATAAAACATTGAATATCTTGAGAAAATCCAGTCTAGGTATGAATTCAAATCAACATTTGTTTTAAAAAAGTGTTATTTTTACAAATAGTTCAACTCTTAGAGTAAAATGATTCATGCAAATCCTATCGCCATCCAGAGTATAATACAATTTAATAAATATGATCAAATAGGTTTTCAATTTTGCTTTAAATTTATTAAACTATGATGTTTTATCAATATCATTTTTAACCGTGAAAGTCAACACATTATGGATTTTCTGTTTAAAAAATAAAAAGTTTTTCTTAATAAAAACTAATTTTCCTAATGTATTTAACAGTTTTAATTAACTAAAAAGAAATACAATAAAAAATTGCAGAAAGTATTTATCTTATTAATGTTGATTGGTGTAGTTAATTCTGATCTATGGGACAATGCTTCATGGCTTTTGGTCTCAAAGTGTGATATTCAACAAACAGTTAACTGAATCAAGCAAATTTATACCTATTTTTAAAAATACAGCTAAAGCAACCCTATAATTGTTTTTTTTTAGAATTTTAATTTCAAATTAAAATAAAAATCTTTGACAATTTGGAGCATTTTCATTTTAGTGCCCACATGCCCCACATGCCACATTTACCACATACCATGCACATGCCACATAAAACAAAATACCATGCACATGTATGCTACTCATGTATGCATCCACATGTATGCTTATGAGTATATACCATGCACATTTATGCACATGCCACATGCACCACATACCATGCACATGTATGCCACATACTATGCACATGTGTACTGCTAATAAACATATGATATTTGATTTCCACAGGCCACACCTTATAGTTTAAATTCAAAGAAAAATTGTAATAATATATACCAATTTTATCGATAATAAATGTTATCGAAGAATGAAATAAAACTTGACTAAAAAAGTATATTTTGAAACAACTATGAGTTGTTTAAAACTATGACTCTAAGTTTAGAGCAATATGCCAGTAATTGAATGTTAGCAAGCAATGATCTTCAGAATAAAATCTTCTACAAAGGGAACTAATGCATCTATATAAGCTTATATGTGAAACAAATCAAGTATGAACCTTTAATTTAAAGTATTTTTTAAATGTTTTTTTTTTTTTACTTTCAGAAAAATTCAAGATTAAATGTTTATAGTCAAAACAGCGTTACATCAGTAACAAGCATATATTGTTCTATTTGAAGATAAATACAAATAGTCTAAAAACTTTAAGTAATTTATGGAAACAAATTTCAGCTTTTATTACAATAATATAAATGACATTTAAACATAAATATAAAGTTTGCAAATGTTACATCAGTAACCATGGAATGCTCAATATGATTTTTTAACTCACAAATTTACTTCAGTGATATATGATTTCTTAAATCACATATTTACTTAATGTAGTAAAACCTAAAGCATTTAAGTAACATGTAGTTTTTAGATTGACATTTAGTTAATAATAATTTATCTAATAATTATTAACTTTTTTTAAAATAACATATTTTTTAATATTTTTATTAGGCACGTGCTCCAAATGCTACTGTAATAATAGTTGGAACGCACGCAGATCAAGTTGACAAATCTTGCCATGAAAATTTTAAAGAATCAATTAAAAAAATGTTTATGTTTATTAAAAATGGTGAAAAAAATGTAGATCATCAAGATTTTGGTTTACCTCGTGTTGTAGATGTTATTGAAGTAAGTTGCACCTCTGGCTACAATATTCAAGAACTTCGTGATCGCATATATGATGCTGCTAAGAATATAAAGGAACAAGGAAGTGAAGGTTTATCTACTTTTTTTTATGCATTCACCTCTCAAAGGTTATGGTAGCCAGTACGTTTGAAAAAGTTGACTAATTTTTTTTTTTAATGTTTACAATATATTTTACTTGAATTAGAAAAATTCAAAAAGTAAACTTAAAAAAAAAGATAAATGAAAATTTTTTTAATCACATTTTTATGAACCTAGATTTTTTATGTGGTTTTCAAATTATAAAAGTTAAATATTATTATATACATATCCGTATGAAACAAAAGCAATTTTTTCTTGTTTCAGTGGTAAATATTAACAAACAAAATTTTGTTAATAGTTTTATTTGTGATATCGATGACTTTAATTCATTTAAGTAACTTAAGGTTTAAAGAGGTTTGTTGGTATCAAGCTTCTCATCTACATTTACAATCCCTGTTGGCTTGTATAATTGACAACACTTTTTAATCCAGGACAACTATTGCATCAATTTTTAATCAACTGTTGCGCCAATTGACAATGCTACTATTGTATCAGTTGACAATACATTTCCTTGACTCTTAACTAAAAAAGTGCTTTCGATAAGCTCATTTTAATTTTTCTCTAGCAAAACTGCGCTAAGCAGAAGCTTTTGGGTTTTGTGAGGTAATATTTAACATTTTTTAGTAACATCACTTCTTAGGTTTGTTACTTTAACATTGAGGATAACAAATCTTTTTATGTTATAGAATTCCATAAAGTTTTACTGGTGACACCATGTGTCAAGAATGCTTTTTGTAATTTCCTTTTCTTTAGTGTTGTTAGTAGCAACCGAAGTTGTAACTAACTCAACTGAAAAAAATTGACTTTTTAATTTACTAAAATTAGTCAAATTTAATTTTCATAAATCTGAAAATTAATAAAATTCATTAACTGTAATATTCATATAAATAATGATGTAATTACACAGCAGTTTGATCACTACACATTTCCTTATAGCCCATTACTTTGAAGTTAAAGGGTTCGACAACTATTCTTTTTTTATAATTTTTTAGTTCAGAAAAAAGAGTTTTTAGAATAAAGATGTATAAGATTTATATTTACTACAAGAAGGTATTTCCTAGAACATAGAATTGTTTTCTGCAAATTTGTAGCGTAAGCAGGTAGTTACAATTGTACAATATTTATAACAGTTAATTTTTTAAATTTAAAATCCTATTGCAATGGATTCTAGAAAGATTTGCTGATGTTTGTAGAACAATATTTTTGGGAAGATTGTTTCAAGAATATGTTACTTTTTTAGTGTCAATGGTGACCATACTTTTAGTGACAAAGGTGACCATATTTTTAGTGATCATGTTGACCATACTTTGGTTCTACTGTCAAGATTGAGATTTTAGTTATAATTTTCTTTCTCATTTCTTCCTTTCTCAGAAAAATTTCTTTTTATTATTGATTAAATAATTGTTACTCTAAATATAAAAAATTAATAATATTTTGTTAAAAGGCTTAACATTTTACAATATTCTAAAATATTAAGTTCTTATAGCAATATTATTTTAAAAAATTTTGTTATGTACTAACATTTTCCTATTTATTAAAGAGTATAACATACTGGATCAACCTATCCCTGCATCATACATTGCTGTTGAAAAAGCAGTTTCTTCAATTGCTTTGGAAATGAAGGATGCCATGCCTGTTCTTAACACAAAAGATTTTAGGTATACACACATACACTTGCAGGCACACACATGTTTTAATTATTTTACTCAATATATTTATACTCTCTGCATTTTCTACTTAAGTCAGTCAATGTAAGTAACTCTTACCTATTTATGTCAGTCAGTGTATGTCACTCTTACCTATTTATGTCAGTCAATGTATGTACACTCTGCTACACTATCTATACTTTCAGAATCTCAGTTTTTTTTTGTCTCAGTTTTGGGTCCAAACGAGAAGATATTTTTCGAGGTCTCGTACAAAACTGAGATAAAGATCAGAATAGTAAAATCTATAGAAAAATTTTAAAATTTTCAGAAAATTTTCAAAAGATATTATATTGTTAAAAAGTGTATTTTTTACAATGAGTGTAAATGTTTTTAAAACTATTTGTGCAATTAATTTTATAATGCATTTCATTAAACCTTTTTTTAAAATACTTTTTGATAATTTAAATAAAGTTGATATTTTATTAAATGATGATTAAATAAAACTTTTTTTTATTTTAAGAGTTCGCCTAATATTATTAAAACGTTAGTTTAAAAGGTTTTAACTGAAATTTTTTGCATGAGAATTAAAAAAAAAATCTTTAAACTTTTTTTAATGTTCAATTAAAGTTATTTATATTATTAGTTTTTTATTTGTTTTTTTATTGTTATTGCAAAATTTTCAGTTTTTTGAATTTTTATTATTATCAATGAGTTAAAAATTTTCAACAAATTATCAAGTTAATTTATTTTTCTGAAATAGATTTTCTACATTTATCACATATTTCTCTCAAAAAAATACATGAAAAAAAAATCCTCAACAGTTTCTGTTAAAGATTTTTGTGACTCTTTTCTCTTTTACTTTTTTTTCTTATTTGAAAAAAAGCACTAATTTAAAAGTATTTTTCACTTTCATTTTCTTGGTATTCAGAAGCTAATATTCTGTGATTGAAAAATAATTGAGGTTTTCGACATGAACGAGATCTGAAAGTATAGCTCTAATTCTTAAATAAATGAGTTGATCAAAGAAAAAAAATTAAAAACAGTTAAATGAATCAAATAAAACTTTTTTTTTTTTAATGTTGTTTGCAATTTTGTGGTTAAAAAATTTAATTAGTTTTATCAATTATTTTAATGATTTTTACATAATGTATATTTTATTTTGTCACCATTAAAAAAGAGTTGTTTTTAACCACATTGACATACTTAAGTATCAAATATAATATATATATATACATATATACATATATATACATAATATTAGATATAAATACCAGCAAAGTTGATTTTTTAAGACCCAAAATTAACTGGAAGGCAAATTTAGACTAAAATTAGAATTTAAGTGAAAGAATTTAGGCTTTTAAACCAAATTTAACTAAAAGCTGATTTGGATTTTAAAAAACACATTTAATTTAAACAGAAATTCAAACTTTAATGACAAATTTTAATTAATTTTATTAATTTTTTTTTTTAACTATTCACCTCCCAAAGGCCCGAGGGGGCCACTACAGTCGAGGAGGCTACTCATTTTTTTTTTAATTTTTTTTTTGTTTGTTGTAAATCGTGGTACAGTAATTAACTTATGTATTAGCCAAATTAACATGCATTTAATAATATTTACAGAATGCAAGTGCATTTATTTTCATAAAAGTAAGTACATTACTTTTACAAAAATAATGAAAATACATTTTTGAATACTCTTCTTTTATAAACCAAATTTATTATTCTTTAGCTTTTAAAAATCACTTGTGAAACAAAGTAGTTTTTTATTTATTAAAAATTTGTATTGAAAAAAAAATCTAAAAATGTAACAGTAATGAGAATTTAAGTTATGCAATCTTTACAACTCCTGTTTTTAAACAAACAAAAACAAATAAAAAACTAATAATATAAATAACTTTAATTAAACATTAAAAAAAGTTTAAAGATTTTTTTTTAATTCTCATGCAAAAAATTTCAATTAAAACCTTTTAAACTAACGTTTTAATAATATTAGGGGAACTCTTATAAATAAAAAAAAGTTTCATTTAATCATCATTTAATAAAATATCAACTTTATTTAAAATATCAAAAAGTATTTTAAAAAAAGGTTTAATGAAATGCATTATAAAATTAATTGCACAAATTGTTTTTAAAACATTTACATTCATTGTAAAAAATACACTTTTTAACAATATAATATCTTTTGATAATTTAGATAAATGTTATTTATAATATACAGTCTTTAAAAGCAATTTCTTATTTTATTACCTTGTACTTTATTTAGCACATTTTTGAAACATTTTCAAAAATCTAAAAAACTCTGGTCAAGTTGTCACAAAAAATGTAACTTTAAATAAATAAAAAAATGTAAATGTAACTTTATATATGTGTATGTATATATGTGTATGTATAAGTGCAAGAATACACCCATAGATAAAAGAATACAGATATGTGTTGCAGAAGTTTAAAACTTTATGTTTATACATAAAATTAGGAAATTCATGTTTCATAATTTTTCTAGTGTTTTTTTTTTTTTTTACTAGATCAAAAGTCTTTGACCAACTTCGTATTCAAAAAGCAGAGTTAAAAAATGGAGTTGAAGAGCTTAACCAAGCTGTCCAGTTTCTTCATGATTATGGTAATAAATTTATATGGTAATATATATATATATATATATATATATATATATATATATATATATATATATATATATATATATATATATATATATATATATATAATATATATATATATATATATATATATATATATATATATATATATATATATATATATATATATAATATATATATATATATATATATATATATATATATATATATATATTATTACTATGCTAGTCCATAATGCAAAAAGTGAGTGTGTTTAGCTTTCTATTCGCTTGGTTTGGAGGTGGATGAAATCGTAATGAGACCATGACAGACAACTAGGTGTAACAACCTAATGCACCACACTTATAAACATTAATGTTTCTAATATTCAGTTATATTTGTTTTATCTTATATGTTATTTGATGTATTACTAAGCTTATGTCTCTATCGCAACCAAATTAGGTGTAGACTTCTAAATGTACAAATAAACCATGAAATTTCCTGAGTTATGAATAAAATCACTAAATTTCCTGAGTTAAGAGTATAGTTATATATTTGCTCATTAAACATGGTTTTGAAATTTTTTTTTCAATGATTTTTCTTTGTTTCTTTTTTTTTTTTTTTTGCCTTTTAATTATATATATATATCTATAATTATATGATGAGTTGTGAATCTAATTGCATTATGGGGTTGTGAAGTTTTGATTTTTATGAATTTTTTACACTGTTTATGTTATAAATGGTTCTAAGCTTTTTTGTAATGAAATTTGTTTTATTGCAATAATAACTTGATGTTGCTACAACAAATGGTATAAATTACAACAATGCATTCCTGATCGGCAATTCTAGTCTTTTTTTATCAGTTACTCTAAATATATGTATATATGTATATATATATATACATATATATATATATATATATATATATATATATATATATATATATATATATATATATATATATATATATATATATATATATATATATATATATATATATATATATATATATATATTTATATATATATATATATATATATATATATATATATATATATATATATATATATATATATATATATATATATATGCACATACAAACAAACAAATAAATATATTCTATAAATATATAATTAAATATATATTTTGACTTCATATCATGACAAGAATACATGGTAGTATCATCAGCGAACAATGCCACCTTAGATGTGAGAATATCTGGAAGATCGTTAATGTAAATTAAAAAGAGTATAGGGCGAAGGATTGAACCTTGAGGAGCCCCTGAGGTTACAGAATAAGAAGAAGAGTGCTGTCCATCAAGGACAACTTTTATACTACGATTGGAAAGGAAGGATTCAATAATCTTAAAGATGTTTCCGTATACACCGTAAAAAGAAAGCTTATGGAGAAGACCAGCATGCCAAACTTTATCAAACGCTTTAGAAATGTCAAGAGCAATGGCCTTAACCTTTCCACCTTAATGTGCGATACATCTAATGTGCGATAAAATGTACATCTAATGTGCGATAAAACCTATCTGTTATTACTGATAGCAAATCAGCCGTAGAACGAGAAGATCGAAATCCATATTGATGATCAGAAAGTAGGTTATGAGATTCGAGATGAGAGATTAAGTGTTTGTTAATTAAAGATTCAAAAACCTTGCTTATGATACGAAGAAGACTAATGGGACGGTAGTTGGACGAATCGGATCGCTCTCCTGAATTTTTAAAAATATGGATAACAGATGCTGCTTTCCAACAGGCTGGAAAACAAGACTCTGATAAGCACTTGTTGAATAGTTTTGAAAGGATAGACGACAGCTCCGGAGAACACTTCTGCAAGACTATAACAGGTATGTTATCCGGGTCGCAAGCTGTAGAAGAGTCTAAGCAGGAAATCACTTTAGATACAGAAGCTGGAGTGATACGAATGTCGAGCAATGGATCAACCTGTTTGACGGCTATATCAGGTAGAACGTTTTCTGGAGAATTGTTTTGCTGATAGATATGGAAGTAATGGTTTCGATTGGCAATTGCAGCAGCACAATGTGAGGAAAATCATGGAGAAGAGTGAGGCTTGACCTGGAATCGTAGAGAGGGAATAAAGGATTCTATGCCAGCCTGAATCCACGAAGTTATGTAAGAAGCACATTTGCCAACAGGGAGACAAAAGATTTCTACCCAGGGGCCATCACGAAGAAAATCACGGAAAGAGTCCCAGTCAGCTTTAAAGTAGTTGTAAGATGTACGATGATAGGGGGATTCTGATGGTTAAAAGAATGAGATAATAGTTTTAGAGAGACCAAACCATGATCAGAAGCACCTAAGGGTGAGTGTGAAGAAACTGAGCACTGACTAGGATCAGAAACAAGACATAAGTTGAGTAGAGAAGGTAAATGATTTGGGTTGTCTGGAAAGCGAGTTGGAAAGTTGAATATTTGAGTTAGGGATTGAGAAAGACAAAAGCTGTGGGCCCTTAATCCCTGCAGTGTCACTGACACTATATATATATATATATATATATATATATATATATATATATATATATATATATATATATATATATATATATATATATATATATATATATATATATATTATATTGTTTGGTGATATTTGATGATTCTTTTGACTGAACATAACATTGCCATTGCTGTTATAATCACCATTACACTTTTATCATTTAAGATTTTTTCTACATTTTAGAAAACACGTTCTTGTATATTTTCTAGATTTTCTCTGCATCATACACAGTCTATTATGATATTTAAATATTTAAAAAATATTTAAATTTAAATATTTTAAAACTGAAAGATATACCTTAAAGTATATAGATTAGTATATATTTTTTTAAAATTAACACTGTTTTAAGTTTGTTTGTTAACAGTTTGATTTTGTATGCTGATTAATTTTGATTTTTTTTTTGTGTTTATGTTTCAGTGACAAATTTTTTGTTTTATTTTTAGGTACCCTGTTACATTTCGATGA